AGTAATAAGGATCATAATCAATTCAAGAAATAAAGACTTAGAACTTTTGTGATTACGAAAGCTCTTTTCGAAATGCGAACTTCTGTTTCTTTTTCTGAGTGCAGGAACTTGTCTTTAAAGTAAAGTTATATCAGCACCTCTCGCAGCTGGCAGATGACAGCGCAGTTAGCAGCGTTAATGTTAATGTTCATGTTACTCACACAGCTAACAATCGATTTAAAAGTCTAGTCTAATAAATAGCTTATCGCTCAATCAATCGACCCCGGTCCAAGTTAAACCACACCCGCACGAAACCACACAATATCATATTGAACACTAAGGCCATGCACACACACACACACACACACACACATGAGAGGCGAGTTCAAAGCCCCGTTCAAAGCCCGGGGCCTAAGGGCAACGACGCACCTGTGCAAAAAAAAAAAAAATAAAAAAAAAAAAAAGGAAAGAAAGAGTGCTTGGTTATTTTTAGGTGCATTTTAAATGAATTTATTATGTATTAATTGTTTGATATACATAAATCCGTAACTGAATCACAAACGGAAGTCTAAAAAAAACAAACACAATGCGATGTGACTAAATCAATTCTTGTAATCCAACCTCGTTCAGTCCGATGTCTGTGTATGTTAAACGAGTAATACAAATTTAGAAAGTAAAAGCATGCCAGTTCATTCTGATCAGATGCCGTGTCACAACAACAAGAACAACAACTGCAACAACAACAACGACTACAGTAATGCCACCCAGCAAAAACGAGCAAACAAACTCTATCACGCGCAATATTATATTCTCTTTATTTATGCCGTAACACGAATTAATATATATAGAAAGAATAAAAACGTTATTAGTTAATTTAATTCAATTATTAAGTCATCATTCAAATAAAATGCACTGCAACTAGGGAATGCTCTAAGGCGTCAGTTGTTAATTAGAAATCTGTTTAATTATAAGCAATGGAGATGCTCTAAGGCGCCGAATCTTAGTTAGAAATCTATGAAATTATAATCCATGACAATTATCTGAGTGGCAACATTAGTTCTGTATTTGCAAATAGAATCTTATAGATTTACAACTATGAGTCTTGGATTACAATTGTCTAACTGAATATCACCAGCTTTCTTCTTTAATTGTCATTGATGTTTTCATTTTGTGTGAAATATTATTAGTATTTTTATCAAAAAAAATATAAATATATTAAGTGCCGAACAAAGATACACAACTTTCAATGCGTTCATCAACTTATGTTAAAACGATAAATGGCTTTAATGTCGCAATATATCTGACCAAATCTAGGATCTGAACAACCTCGACTCTATCGCTTTTCTATCAATCATATTGCATATATTTATAAAATATATTTCTACACAGTCCTAGTACTCAAAGTTTGATATGTTTTAATTAAGTCATTTTTTGGCTATATAAACATGTTTAATTTGTCAATGTAATTTCGCTTGTTGTTTTAGACATTTGTCCCAACACTCGACAACCAAACCCATAATAGTATTGAAAAGTGCTGTTCTCTGCTATTGTAATGCCAACAACTGAACACAAAAACAACATACCATTTTCCATACACAAAAATACATGTTTATTTTGTTTGACCTTTTTTGTTTATGCACAAAATGATTTTCAAAACTGCTGTTGTTTGTTCAAACAGATTTATTATTGTATCGTTTTTAGTTAAGCTTACAATACTTAAATCAAAGCGGAAGGCTAATTTAGTATTATTTTAGAATGCTGCAGGGTCTTTTCCCTCTCGCGGCACGTGTAAATGGGCTGCGTGACTGTCGTGCACCCACACTGTGCCACGCCCCTTGTCAAAACTAACTGAATACATATTTGTTAGCGCCAATTAGCATTTTTGCAATTCTCATTCCGAACGAATTTATGTCGAGTTACGTAATTGCCGGCATTTAAGTTAGTAAATACATAAATATATATGCAAAATACATAATTTATTATTTATATCGCATTTAGTATATATAAATTAATAGCCAGTTTGGCTGCAAATTTGACAGTTTCTGTTCAAGTTGGAATTTGTCGTTTATTTTTGAGCTTATTGGATGATAATGCTTGAACAAATTGATGGCGGTGAATAAACTAATTAACATGCACACTAAGTGATATTTTTAAACACATGCCGCAGAAACCTTTCAACCGGATTAAACGCGAACAAAACCAACAACAACACCAACAAAAACAAAAACAAGAGCAACAAACCAAACTCAACAGTCAAAACTCCCAGTTCTATAATTGGCTGACAACGAGATCATTAATCAATGGTACGTACCTGTTCTTGTAATGCGTCAAACAGTCTTTGCAAGTTAAGACGTAAGTGAATTACCCATGATTCATAAACTTTAATTTTGCTAAGCCGTCTAATTGTTAACTACTCGAAGCATATCCAATTTTCAGCTGAATTTAGCTTTAAAAGCGTAGCTAAAAATCACACTCTATATTTTAATTAAACATTTTTAATTGATATCACATGCAATTAACACATTTTAGGTGATTCACTCTGCCAACTCATTGCAAAAAATAGACATAGCTGATCCTAAAAACCTAAAAACCTATGTGTATATATATATTCCTTCTGTCTCAAATCGAAGCAAATTTGACAAAATATACCCAAGTTAAAATGTTAAAATTGTACCCTCATAAAGTACTTGCATTTAAGTTTTCAAGCACAACTTATTGTCGAAATTAATTTTAAAATACTAACGAAAAAATCAAGATTTTAAGAAATCTACTCAATTTTGACAACACTTTTTAATTTTGATTAGAGTATTTTTTATATTTCTCTTTGATTGCATACTTCTTGAATTGTAATCAACTGCATATTAAATAGCCTCAGTCAATTAAAATTCCATGTCTATGTGAAATATGAAGAGCTGCATTGCTAAGCATTTTATAATTGTTATATATACTAACGAGTTAGATATGCACTTGGAGTGATCCAACATTTGTCTGAGCTATGATTAATCATTTCCAATTGAAACAATCTTAAAGAAATTGCTTAAACTAAGTAGAATGTCTGTCATTTGACAGCTGCATTTGTATTTACTCGACATTCTTCGAAACGCTTAAAATTTCCAACAGTTTAATTGATTTAACGCTTTTAATGGACTTAAACTTTTGTAACCCCTTTCAAAAAAGCAGTTTACGAATGCTGTAAACCACTTTCCATGGATTCCACATAAATTCTATTTAGAGTGCAGACTCATTCACCCAAGTTTGTTGCCTAAGTCTTTCGTTACACGCCTTTCCACGCGCAGCAACAAGACTCTAGACTTAATTAGTATGCATACTATAAATATATATAAATATGTATTCACATATATCTGCAATGATAATTAAAACTGTTTAAAACGATCGAACGACCAAATGGCAAGTGGCCATGCTTAAAGCGTGTAAAAAACCATCAGAACAAAAAACTCGCACGAGTTTCATTTCAGTAGTCATCGGCTGTAATTGTTAGGGCGGGGGGGAGGGAGGGCTGTAGAGGGGGCGGTTGTTTTAAAAGGGGGACTGATCAAGGTGGCAACCTGTGTGCCGCAATTGTATGCAAATGAACGCGTGCGCTACAAAAAAAATTGCATAATATTTTGAGAGGTTCAGCTTAGAACATTGTGTGGATTCCAATTTATACGCGAACTCGTAAAATAACCTAATGCATTTGTTTTGTTTTTGTACAATATGCAATATAATTCTTTATTGTTATTTTATTTGTTTTATTTTGTTCATATATAGCTACACATATATATATACTATATATTTACTGTGCATGCGGCACGTAGCATGTAGCATCTAATATGTGAGTATATAGGTATGCATTACAAATACACACTATACACAGAACATGCATGCATATTTATACATAAAGAATTGTTATTAATATAATAATATTTTTTGTTTTAGCTTGTGGTTCTTTAAATATGTTATTTGTTGCTGCTCTTTATGCTCTAGGTACCCATTTTTGTTTTTTATAAATTGTTATCAACTATTTATCGTTATGTTTATAAAATTTAAAATTTACCTTTGCAAAAACATAAGCGTTAACAACTTAATTAAATTTAGATTTATTGTTTCTGTTTTTTGCTTTTTTTTTTGTCATATTATATATATGTATATAATAAAGGGCTCTTTTTAATTATAATTTTTAAATTTTTTACTTTTTGATGCGTTTTTGCTTTTGTTTTTTTTTTTTAATAGCGACTAAGACACTTTTTTCATTTACCATTCAAAAATTTTGCATTGAAATTAAATTTAATATAGTATTATTTTCTTTTTACAGCATTTAAAGCTACAATTTGAGATGTGTATGTGAAAAACGTAACAGTTTTAAATTTATTTTGTATTTTTTACTTTTGTTTTATATACAGCAAAAATTGTTTTACTTTTTTGTGGGGGGGAAAACGGAAAGGATTCTGAATCATGGCGGAATGTTGCACATGCAATGAGTATAATATATATATGTGTGTGTTTATATATATATGTGTGTATGTGTGTTTGTGTGTGTGGGTTGGGTGTATATTTCTCATTTTTGGATTTAAGTGTAGACCGTAGTGTTTACTTAGCATATTTAACAAAAGTTTATACAAAACTTGATTGGCTTAATACCAACTAAAAATTGTTGACATTATTAATTATAATTTCTTATTCTTTTTTGTTTTGTTTTGATTCAGTTAATAAATATTTCAACAAATTACCCGCTGCACGTTCACGTAAAAACTAATAATAATAGTAAATGGTAAATAGTCGTAATAGTAATAGTATAATAATATAATAATAATGATAGCTAATTTACAATTACTGCATATTAATATATAGTTGTATACATAAATATACGCTTAGTTCAATTCTGCAAACTAAAAGCTTACAATAGTCGAAAACTACACTTTGAAACAATTCTTAGAATTTCCTTTCATGTTCCTGCCTTAAGTTTTCTTTCTTACACTTTATATAAACAATTACAGATATATATATATATATATATATTTATATATATATGTATATAGTACGTCAGTTATTAACAAAAAACTAGAACTTAAAATCATCTAAAACTATCGATGTAAATTTAGGTTGTGCTAAATCCTGGGCGCTGTGAGAAACTTCAGAGTTCATTGCACAAAAGTGGGTGAAAAAGGCATGAAAACGGTAGACACTCAACGAAATGAAATGCGCAGATGGAGATGGAGTTGGAGTTAGGATTGGGACGAAGAGGAAGATGTGGGATAGGGAAGAGAAGAACACATTCTACACTCACACATAAAACATTCATCGCGATTCTATTAGACTAGAATTCGAGTCAGCATTTATATATAAATATATAAATATATATATAGTAGGTAATATCAGGACATAAGATGAAACGCTCCCAGTTTGCCCCTTCTTCTTCTTCGTCTTCTTTAGCACACGCATTGTTGAAAACTTCCGTTTGAAACCAATCGCCATTCAGCGTTGTGTGTTTGCTCCCGCTTCTGCTACACCTATTACTCCTACTCCTACTCCTGCTGGTGCAGCTGCAGCTGCAGCCGCACTTGTTCCCATCGCCGCCGTCGCTGTAGACGATGCATTCAGGTCGTCCCCTTGCAGGTCCACGTTGGCGGCACTGGCGTACTGCTAAAACCATGATTGCCTATTGATATCATATGGCTTGGTCATTCCCAACGCTGAGGTGCGATATGCCCCTTGTGGCGGCGGTGGTTGCCCATAGCCTGCAGCGGCTGCCGCCGCCGCTGGTCCACTCAACAGGCTCTGATTGAAGATCATGGCATGGAAATCATCTCGCCGCAGATACTGCTGATATAGCTGTGAGTTGGGATCCAGTGGGGCGGCAGCGAACGGATATCCCGCCGCTGCTGCTGCTGCCCGGGTTGAAGGATGCGCTGCAGCAAGGAACGGATACGAACCCGCCGCCGAGTTGAGGGGATTTTGTGACTTATCGGCCGCATTGGCCGCTGGATTACCCGTCGCACCACTGTGCGCCGGCGCTGGTGGCATATAGTAAGGATTCGGTGCATCGCGGAACTGATCCAAATAGCTGCTCGCCGCCGCCGCTGCCGTCTGATCACCATAGAGCCCCAGTGCGCTGGGCGTGGGCGCAAAGTTGAACGCACTGCCAGGCACCATGCCACCAGTTGATGTCTTAAGCGAAATTGCTGCCGCATCTGCTGCCGTTTGATTGCTGCCTGTGTTGCCGGCTGCCGCGGCTGCTGCAGCAGCTGCTGCTGCTGTACCCGGTACGGGTGAAGCAACTCCACCCGATTTAAGGCCTGCGTACAGCTGGAAACCCTGATGCAGCACTTGGGCATGTGCCTGCAGCTGATGCGCTGCTGAGCTAGCTGCCGCTGCAGCTGTTGGCAGTTGAGGCATATTGTATTGAGACATTGCCTGCTGACTATGCTGCTGTTGCTGCTGCTGCTGCTGTTGTTGCTGCTGCTGTGCTGTCACTTGTTGTTGCTGCTGCTGCTGTTGTTGTTGTTGCTGCTGCTGCTGTTTGTTTGCCTCTGCTGCCACGGTGGTTGCCTTCTTTTTGCGTCCACGCTTGGCGGGCACCTTGACCTCAGCGGGCGGCGTAGCTGCGACAGCTGCCTGTTGTTGATGTTGCTGCTGTTGTTGCTGTTGCACCTGCTGCTGTTGTTGTTGCGGCTGCAGTGGAGGCGCTGCGGCGTTGCTACCAGGCACATAATTGCCAGGCAATTGCTGGGCAGGATTACCATAAGCGGACGCAGCACTGGAGGCACTGTACATATGCGCAGCTGGCGGCATGTTCTTGTCGAAGTAGTTGACGGGATAACTCAACATGGACTCGGTGAGCGTGTGCATCAGTGGATTGTTGTAGGTCTGTGGTGGCGGTGGTGTTGGTTTGTTGTACGCAGCCAAATGATGTGTCTGGCTGAGATGATGTTGATGTGCGCTCGCTGGCAGATGTTGCAGCATATTGTTGCTGTTGTCGTTGCTGTTGGCTGCCACTGGTTGTGCTTGTGTTGCTGTCGGTTTGCCTGCTGTCGGCTGCACGCTGGGAACAGCTGCTGGCGAATAATTGTGATTCAACTGCGACTGTTGCTGGTAGGCGTTGTGTGGTTGCTGCTGCTGCTGCTGTGCATGTTGTTGCTCTTGTGCGGGTTGTTGTGGCTGCTGCTGCTGTTGCAGGTTGTTGTTGCTGCTGTTGCCGTAGTTATGCGTCTTGTGCGACGCCTGCTGCTGCTGCTGTATTGGCAACTTTTGCTGTTGCTGCTGCTGCTGTTGTTGCTGCTGCTGCTGATAGTTGAGGTTATGTGAAGGCTGCAATTGTGTCAAATGTGGTTGAGCTTGTGGCTGCTGCTGCTGTTGATTAGTTTGTTGCTTATTGGTAGGAACTTGTGGTTGCTGTTGTTGTTGCTGCTGCGGCATGTTGCATACACTGTTGTCCTTGGCAAAGTCCTTGGGAAAACCCATTGCTGCCGCCCGATTATACATCTCAAATGCTTTATCTGGCGCTATGGTGCCCAACTGTTTGCCAAACGCCATCGAACCCAAAAAGCTGTTAAACATTTGCTGTTGCTTGTTGAGCAACGATTGTGGTTGCGATTGTTGCTGTTGTGCCTGCTGCTGCTGCTGTTGTTGTTGTTGTGCTTGCTGCTGCTGCTGTGTTGCTGCGTGCAATTGCTGCTGTGTGTGATTCTCTTCGAGTTTGGCCAGCTTACTGGCAGCCGCATTGCTATAATCTCCTGTAAGTTCCTCGCTGCTGCGCTTCAGCGGATTTATTAACGTATCCGTTGTTTTTGCCGGCTGCTGCATTTGATGCTGCATAAAGGTTGCCATATCGGTGCCGTAACTGGGTGGCACAATTTTCTGTTGCTGCTGTTGTTGTTGCTGTTGTTGACTTTCAACAGCATCAGCTGCTGCTGCTGCATTTGCTGCCGCATTTGTCGACTGATATTGCGCATAGGTTGGATACTTTGGCTTCATGCCATGCAACTGTTGCTGCTGCTGCTGATGAGCCAACTGTTGCTGCTGCTGTTGCTGTTGATGTTGCTGCTGCTGTTGCTGCTGTTGATTCGCTGCCAGGTTGGGCGGCAACAGGCTGTGACCCAGGCTCCATTCATTGCTGTTGGGCTTGGCAACAGGCGCTGCTGTGGGCAATGCTGCCGCTGGCGAAGTAGGCAACGGATTAATCAGAGTTGATGGATTGTAAAGAGAATGTTGCTGCTGCTGTTGTTGTTGCTGCTGGTAGTTGTTGTCATAACCATTATTTCCCATAGCTGCTGGAATAGAATTATTTTTTTAAAACTAGCCTTGGCTCATTATTTGCTAAACTTACCCGCTAGTGGCACGACAGGTGCTGCTGCTGGTTGCGTAGTTGCCCCTGTTGGCGCTGCCACCACTGGAGGCACCACTTGTTGCTGCTGCTGCTGTTGTTGTTGCTGGTAGGGCGACAGCACTGGCTGCTGATAAGGCGAATGCTGCTGCTCCGCTGGAGACTGAGCGATTGGTGTAGGTGGTTGGGTAGCTGCCGAAGATGCAGGTGAATCCACACTGTGCATTGGACTCAACGCCTGCTGTTGCTGCTGCGAATTGGGACTATGTGAGGATTGCTGCTGCTGCTGCTGTTGCTGTGTTGGCAACTGCGATTGCGACTGCGACTGTTGACTATGATACGGCGACTGGGCGTGGTAGGGCGAGGGTTGCGTCGAGTGCGGCGTGGTGTAGGGCGAACTCTGTGGCTGTTGGTACGGTGAATGCGGATTCGGTGTACTCGGACTCATCGACGAATTGTAATCGGATTCCTGCGAACGCGGCTGTTTGTACTGATCGTAAATCGGCAGTGGCGATGTGGAGGAATACGCTGGCGTCTTGGACGCCTCCGAGCCGGAGGGATTGTAGCTATTCCCACCGCCATATGGCGAAGTTCCACTCAACTCGGGCGTGGAAACATTCGGCGACGATGCCGAGGAGTAAATGTGCTGGGAATATTGCGGATACGGTGAATTCATTTCGCGGGGACTGCAACTCTTGTCGGGACTGCTCTTGGTCGTCGTGTCCTGATAGAAGCCAACCTTAATGGCGCCGTTAAGGGTATATGGTGACGCTGGCTTGCCCATGTCATCGTTCGGCTTCGGCGACACCATAATGGGAGAGGCGCCGATCGGCGACGCTCCAATTGGTGATGTATACGAACCAGCCGCATAGGAACCATAACGCTCATCGATGGCAATACGCGGCGAGTCCGGATCCTGACTGAAGGAGCTACGTTCTGAGTTGGTGCTGCCCGTGCTCGGCTTTCTGGGACGCATGACCACCGGCAGGGAGAAGTTATTATCGCCGGAGGCGGCGGCAGCTGGTGAATGTTCGGGCGGCGCCACCCGATTGTTGTCATCCTTGCCGAGCAAAGACTGTGTCGTTGCCGTCGTCGTCGTCTGCTGTTTGTCCTCCTCCTCGCTGGACTTGACATTGACCAGTGGTCCACCAAAGGCTTTCAGCCAGACGCTCAAATTTGGTTTGTCCAACGACTCCGTTGGAGATGCTTTGGAGGCCAGTTCGCTGAGTTTACTGAATTCGAGCAGCGCCTCGAAAGGCTTTGGCGGCAATCTATCTGCCAGCTCGGCATCACCCACATCCTTGGCGTCATGTTGCTCCTTGCCAGCCAACTCCTCGAGTGTTTTACCCAATGCAAAATCCTGCGTCTTAAGCACTGTGCCCAGACTCAGTTTTGGTGCTGAATCACTGCAATCGATGGTTAAAGCATTTTTGGGCTCCTTACTTTTGCTGGACTGTGCCGGCGAGTGGCGGGCCGTGCTCTCGGACTCCTCCGCCTTGGACACAGTGTGCAGTAGATTGCCCTTGGTCTTGCCCGGCTGCAGACGTTCAATGGTGCGCATCATAGCCTTCGCCTTGGCCTGCTGGGCGTGCGCAGTCGCTGCCAGTTTATCCTTGAGTGATTTGCGTTTCGCCTCCTTGGCCATCTGTTGTTTAATGTGCGGCGGAGGCGGTGGATTGAGGAGCAGCTGCGTGGTGCTCGGCTCCTTGGGCTTGGCGGCGGGCAGCGAGGGCGATGGTGTTGGCGGCGGTGTCGGATTGGGCAGCGAGGGAGGCGTGCTCGCCGCTGTCGTTGCCATTGTCGTTGAATTCGAATTGGAATTCGAATTGAAGTTGGAGCAGGCCGAACTGGCACTGGTCGCTGCCGTCGCCGATGTGCTGCCAATTGAGTTACTCGAGTGCATCGAATGTGGCGGTGTGCCACAACTGCTGCTCACACTGCTGGCCGTCGCCAGAGCATCCACTTCCAGCTTGGAGACCGGTGGCTTATCGCTAACCAAATCGTTGAGCGCCTCCGCCAACTTGTTGGGCACCAGTTCCGCTTTGGGCGTTGCCAGTGCAACTGGTCGCCGAAAATCGGCAGCATCCATCTTGCTAATGCTCGAATCGAAGTCATCCAGCAGATTGTAGCGTGAGGGTGAATTGCTCGCCGAGCTAAACTCGGAGAAACGTGGCGTATGCTCCAGCCAGCGATTGATATCCTTCAGCGTTTGCTCCGTTTCCACATCGAGTGCCTCCAGATTTGTGTTGCTCGGCGCTGCTTTCTGTGCCGCTGCTGCTGCCGCCGCTGCTGCCTTTTTGCCAGTTAACTTCTTGGTCTTCTCCGTGGATTTCTCGGCGGGCTTTGGTGGCGGTGGCATTTGTTTATCAGCTCGCTTTTTGCTGTTGGATTTCGGCGCGGGTTCCTTGGGCTTGGCGCTGCTGGCGTTGCTAGTAACGCTACTTGACTTGACCGCATCCTTGCTGGCAGCGCTGCTGCTCTTGACCACCACATCCTTGCTAGCAGTTTCTGTCTTGGCAGCAACAGCAGCACTTGGAACAATTGGCGCTGCTTTTGTCAACGTCTGTTCGGCTGGCGGTTTCTCCTGGTTTTTTGGCGTCTCGACTACTTTTTTGGCCTTCTCCGTGTGCTTTTCCGCATTCTTCTCCACTTGCTTCTCGCCAGACTTGTCGGACTTCTCGGCTTTCTCCGGCTTGCTGGGTTTCTCTAGCTCTTTGACCTGATGCTTTTGCTCCTTGCTCTTACGGCCACGTTTGTTGTGCTCCACAGTTGGCTCTGTGCTGGCATTTTCGCGCTTCTTTTTGGTGCTGGATGACTTGGTTTCCTCGAAGGTCGCTTGCGCATTGGATGCGCTGGCGCCGGCTTGGGCGGCACGACTTCGTCGATATTTGATCACATCATATTTATCCATAAAGGGGAACAGCATCTCCAGTTCCGCCTGCTTGGCGGCGGCAGCAGCAGCAGCCGCTGCTTCCGCTGAGCTCTTCTTGTGTTTGCCACTGCGTGCCTTATCCTTATCCTTATCTTTATCCTTGTCCTTTTCCTTTTCTTTGTCTTTGTCTTGGCTGCGCTTCTTGTCCTTCTCCTTATCCTTATCCTTATCTTTTTTCGTCAACGGCGTCGCATCGTTCTTCTTGCCACGCTTCGCAGCTGGCGGCGAGTGACGTCTCCTTTGCTCATCGCTGCTGCTGTCGCTGTCCAGCGACTTGAAATCCGTTTCCGAGTCCTGATCGGATTTCTCGTGCCGCTGTTGTTCACCTTCGTGACGTGCGCTCAGCTTGGAGGTCTCCACACTGTTGACCTTCTTGACTGTAGTCAGCAGCTCGGAGAGATCATCGTTGAGGGCGCTCTTTGAGTATTTCTTGTGCAGATCCACCTTGAAGGGGGACATGCTTCTCGAACGGGAGACATCATCGTCATCGTCATCATCCGCATCATCATCCTCATCCTCGTCCTCCTCCAACTCGGCAGCCGAGTCCGCTAAAGCTGCAGCAGCCGTTGGCGGCAGTTGCTTTTTCAACGGTATATCATCGTCGTCCAGATCGTCCGGATCTCGTTCGCTCTTGGCGCGACCACGCCCACCTTTTTTGCTCTTTGGCTGACGCTTGACGGGCGTGGGGGCTTTCACTTTGGACTCGGCCGGCACCATCTTCTTCTTTTGTGCCGCTATCGTGCGTGCCGTGGGCTTCACCAGGGATTTGACTTTGGCCAGTGCCAGTTCCTCGTCACTGGACTCAGTGTGACTGGGTGGCTCACTCCGTTCGGATTCGTCGTCCGTTTCGTGCTTTGAGTTTTTAGCCGCTTTTTTGGTCTTTTGCGTTTTGGTGGGCTTCGATGAGGAGGAACTGTTGTTGCTGTTGGCCAGCGTGGATTTGCTGCTCTTGGGCTTGCGACCACGCTTGCTCGAGGATGCTGGCAGTTCCTTCTCCTTCTCCTTCTCCTTCTCCTTGTCCTTCTCTTTATCTTTGTCTTTGTCCCTGTCCTTCTCTTTATCCCTGTCCTTATCCTTGTCTTTCTCTTTAAGTACTTTGTTGCTTTTGCTCTTCTTAATTGCTGGCGGCGGCGGTGGCGGCTCTGGTTCCACCATTTCCTCCTCATCCGTATCCAAATCATCATTGTGGCCCGCGCCCTTGTCAGCTTTGGTTTTGGTCTTCTTCTTGCGCCGCTTATCCTTATCCTTTTCTTTACGCTTGCGCTTCTGCGCATGCGTTGTTGTCGGCGTTGCCTCCGTGGGCTCCTCCGTTTCGCTGTGTGGTGCTAGCGCCTCTTGCTCCTCGTCACTGGTGCCCGGCAGACGCTTGCCGTCCGCACAAACCACCATGGATTCCTTCTCCTCCTCTTTCGCCTTCTTGTTGAAGTACTTCTCACGAAATACGTTCATTTTGGAGTCAGCGGCGGGATAACTTAAATTCGGATCATCATCTTCATCATCAGAGAGATTATCGAAATATTTCTTGGTCGCCCTATCGAAGGCATCTTGTAGATTGTTCACCATCTCCGTGTACTCTGCGAGAAAATATAAGAATATATTTGAGTGATGGATATGGCAAATATATATATATAGTTAATAGTCACCATTATTGTGCCCATTGTACAGTCGGCAATTATTGACTATCAAGCGAAAATCGTTGCGAAATTCGCTAAACTTGTGATACTCTCCACTGTCCAGTTTGTCCTCCATTTTGAGCAGGTCCATCGGCCTGAATAAAAGTCAAATTAATTAAGTGCTGATGCTTAATAGATAAACTACAGTGGTCGCTTCATATTAGAGATCATTGAACATTTTTTCCATATTCTAAATTGCTAGACACATAATAAAGAATGTTCAATTAATATGAGCATGTAACAGGTTCAAGGTTCAAGGAACGATAATTCTATATTTGAATGTGTTTAAAAACGATTCTAATGTCAGATAATATTCATAATATATGAGCGACCACTGTATGGATGTTTTGTATATATATATATATACTATCTACCTTCTAATGATTGAGTAATATCGCGGCGCAATATCCTCCTCAACGGGATCCATGAAGGGCCATGCATCCCGATGATTCTTGACATAGACGAGCACCTTATGCATTCCGATTTGTAGCACTTCCTCCGTTTCGGTGAAGCTAAGAAGATTCGCATGATTTGAGGTTGAGGAGTTGTTGTACGTTGTTGTTGAATTGTTGTTGTTTGCTTTCGCTGTAGTTGTTGTTTTTATTGTTGTTGTTGTTGTTGTTTGTGGTGTTGTGTTTGTTGTTAGATGGTGTTGTGTTGTGCTTGTGCTTGTTGTTGTTATGGGTCTGGTTAGAACTGTGTGTTGTGCTGTTTGTTTATGTTTATTACTGTTAACATGACTATGATTATTAGTGTTGTGGTGCTGATTGTGGTTGTGGTGGTGATGGTGATGGTGGTGGTAGTTGTGGTGGGGCAGGTGGGTCGTGTGTGTATTGTGGTTGTTATGGTGTGAAACTCCGTGCGACGTTGTTGTTTTTATTGCAGTTGCTTCCGCCGGCGTTGAGTGGTTGTGATTATTGTTGCTGTTGTTATTATTATTGTTGTTGTTGTTGTTGTTGTTGGGATTGTGGTGCGACGCGTGCTTATGGTTGTTGTTGTTAAAGCTGCTGGTGCTACTGTTGGTACTATTTACATGGCTACGCCTTCGTTGTTCGTTGTTTGTTTGTTGTGGGAGGGTGTCGGGGTTATGATGAACAGTCGCATGTTGTTGGTTGTTTTTTGGTTGGCTGGTTTTTGTTTTTTGTTTTTTGTTTTTGTCAGTACAAAAATTTACAATAACAATGGGTAATAAAATGTTAATCAATTGATATATTATGTACAATTTAATGAAATATGATGGGGGTCGTTAGTAAAACTTGAAGAGAAGCAATTAAATGCGGCGACATGCAAACGATTAACCAAAGTAACTACAATTAACTGAATGTGAATGTGAATGTGAGTCAATGAATAACCGAATGAATACCCTCGCAGCGGGACAGACTCGAGTAGGCAAGTGTACTATATAAATATATAGATATATATTTGATGTAAGGTTCAATTTCTTACAAATTCGAGCTGCAAGGGTATTTCCACCCAGCAATCACTTTTAGAGTATGTGGAATGAATGAATAACTATGAATAACAATAAGGTGCTTGAGTGCTTAAGTCTAGGTGGAGTGTTAAATGTGCAATGTTTGACTCTAATTGGTTAGTTTAGTTTAGTTTAGTTAGTTGCTTGGGACTTACTCATCAGCGCTTTTGTCGGAGAAGGCGCTGCTGAAGCGTTCCGCCTTGCTGGACGAGGAGGCGCTCGAGGCGGCCGATGAAGGCGTTGTGGTTGCGGCCGCTGTTGACTTTTTAATTTTTAGAGGCGCCTCCACTTTGGTGCCACGTTCCGCTTTACTGCTGGAGCTGCTGGCGCTCAATGTGGCCTTCTGTTTCTTGGAGCGTGCTGTGCTATCACTCGTTGAAGTGCCACTGTTCGTAAGTTGCTGCTGTTGCTGCTGCTGTTGTTGCTGCTGTTGTTGTTGTTGTTGTGGGTGGTGGTGGTGGTGCGTGGTTGCACTGGTGCCGCCCGTTGTCGGTATAAATATGTTGCCGGACAGAGAGCTGAGTGAATTATTTGTTTGCCTGCCGGGCAGCTTAACATTCGCCGCTGGCGCCATCTGCTGCTGCTCCTCGCGCTTGGCAACCACTTGTGGCTGTGTTGTTGCTGCTGCTGCGGCTGCTGTTGGTGGTTGTGGTGTAGGCTCCTGCGACTCGCTGTCATTCGCCACCGGCGAGGGCAGACTCAGATTTGCAATACTTGTGGCAACTGCAATTGCCGCCGAATTCGCATCCAACAATTGCAGCTGGCGGCAAAAGTTCTCCTTATCCTCCGGACTCAGCGATGGTGCGGGTGGCGCCTCAGAACTCGTCTCCGGCTGTTGCAGTTGTTGTTGCTGTTGCAGTTGTTGCTGCTGTTGCAGCTGCTTCTGCTGCTGGTGGCGACTGCGACGTCGTTTGTGATATTTACGCACAACTGTTGCTGCTGTTGCTGCTGCTGCTGCGATTGCGCTGCTGCTGCTGCTGTCGCTGTTGTTGTTGATATTGTTGTTGCTGCTGTTGTTGTTGTTATTATTTTTGGTATCTTCGTCTGTCTCAGACGCAGCATGCTTGTGTCGCCGCCGATGATGCTGATGCTGATGCTGCTCTCGATTTGGTTCCCGTTCCCGTTCCTTTTCCCTTTCCCGTTCACGACGCTCCCGCGAGCTCTTCTTGTGCTTCTTGCTGGACTTTTTCCGCTTGCGATGATGATGATGATGATGGCTCTTGTTCTTGAATTTCGCTGGCGTTTGGCATTTATCATCCGAGTCAGCGTTTTGTGCTGAGACAGCGTTTAATTCCTGCAGCTGTTGTTGTGGTTGTTGTTGCTGTTGCTGTTGTTGTTGCGGTTGTTGTTGCTGCTGCAGCTGCTGCTGTTGCTGTTGCTGCTGTTGTTGCTGTTGCGTTTGTTCCCCTTGTTGCGATGGTTCTTGTGTTAATTGCTGTTGTTGTGCTTGCTGCTGCTTCAAGTTCTTGCTGCTGTTCTCCTCGTCGTCATCCTGCTCCTCCTCTTCTGGCGTTAGACAAAAGGTTTCCCTGTGGCACAGAAATTCGGTCGTATTAGTTGTTGTTGTACGTTTGAAGGAGCTTGCGTAAGTTGAAATACCGCTAGCCGTCGATGTCGATTGAGAGCTGCTGAGAGAGAAGAGAGAAAAGAGAGGAGAAGAGAAGCGAATAAGCAAAGATTGAATAAGTAATGCTGACAACAACAATAACACACAGGAAATAACAATCTTAATTAAATGCAAATTCCAGTTGAAATCGCTTAAAACTAATGCGCAAATGAAATGGTTTCTGTCAATGCAGCAATTAAATTGAGACGGAATTTATTCTAGATCAGATAATAGAATATATATCGAATATCTGAACTTGAATTGAGAATATTGAATTGAGTTTTTAGTTTTCCAAGCGATTTCTACTGTTTTTGAACATATTGTCTTTGTCTGATTGTTTTGTGGACGATGATAGATCTTAGCAGCTGCGGTTGATAATGAATGAAGTGCCACAAAAAATGTAAAATAAAATAATAGCAAATAAATACATAAGTAAACAAGTAAATCAAAATCAAAAGCGGCTCATAAACATAAAATGCAAATTAAATGCCATATGGAGTACATATCAAATATAGAGGTAATATATAAAGCATGCTTACATAATTGTTCATATTGTGTTCATATTATTATTTTTTTGAAAACGAAATCCAACCAATTTTTTTTTGATTATTTTTTTAAATTATGGGCAAAACTCAAATAAAGTGCTGATTCTCCGCTGATTGGGGTCCAGTTGCCGTCTCAGTCTCTTCTGGTCGCTGGCTGCCTGCTAAAGCGTCGATGGGGATGTGATTTGATTTTTGATATTGTTCTTCTCTTTTCTTTTTTTTCAAACAAGCAAATTTCGTTTAAGTAAAACAAAACAAACAAATCAAAAGAAATTAAATTGTTAACTCAACTTAAGTATGCTTTTGAGATGTGAGTGTGTTTTGGATAATTGTTGCTGTTGTTTCTGTGGTTTCTGTTGTTGTCTGAGTGTGTTTCTTTGCTGTCGCTTCTTGTTGTTCTGAGTGAGTTGAGTTCTCAATGTGTGGTTAATGTGATTGTGAAATGGTATCCGCTTTGCTGCTGTCTGATGTCTGCTTGTTGCTTAAAATACTGCACGTGCTAACCGTCTGCGTGTGCGTTGCTGAGCCGCCAAACTTGTGGCGGTCTGACGCTCTCGTCGAATACGTTCGCGTTCGCGCTCAAGCTCCCGCTTCTCGCGCTCCTCCTCCTGGCGCGCCTTCAGCTCAGCGAGATTCCGCAAGCGACTCGAGTTACGCACTTGCAGCAGCCTGTGTGTTGACAACAGAGAAATAAATACTTATTAGCTTTTCTCTATGGAATAATTAATCTATGTTATCTAAGATCTATGAAGCTGAAATACTCTCAGGACTCCAAGCCCTCCATAATGACTTCGGCAGAAGCTGTAGGGAAGAGGAATCTCCTGAACACTCCTTTTACTCCAGCCCGGCACTTGCCAGGAAGAGATAAGGCATCCTGGGAAGCCTCTTAGCATAACTAAGACTGATTAATTCTAAATATGAAGTGCGAAATTCACAAAAGGCAACTGGCTGCTCTCATTTTTGATTCAGTATCCAAACAAGAGAAGAATCAAAGCAGCCTTTCAAGATGTAGTTGAATATGACAAGCGCATTTTTAGTTGCTCTATGACTGTCAACGTTTCTCTTATCTTTAAACATGTAATTGTATGGAAAGCTGTTGTATTTGTGACTCACTTTCTGCGTCTGAGACGTTCACGTTCGCGAAACAGCTGCGGCAGCTTGGGCAAAAAGTTCTCGGCGAGTATTTGGAAGAGTTCGCGCTCTTTGGCATGCGATGAGGCCTTGAATTTGGATGCCAAATGCTGCCAATCGTCCTCGGTGAAGCAGATGACCTGCCAGACGGTGTTGTTATTCCAAAGTGTGGTGTTGCCACTAAAATCGTCGCTGCCACACTCAAACTCGGCGGCAGCAGCGGCGGCGGCGGCAGCAGCGGCACTTTGTTTAGAATTCCAACTGGACGCAGATGTGACTGGTGCTGCCGCAGTTCTATCCTCGCGATAGAGACGCGTGCCGTAGAAATACCAATAGCCCGAGTTCTTTGAATCGTAGCCGAGAGGCTCAACGCGCAAGCTGTCCGCCTCTAGATTGCTGAGTATGACCTGAACATCGACAGAGTCGAGTCGAAAGTGGCACAGATGGTGCAGGATTTGTAGACGCTTGCGCACCGGCAGCGATTGGAAATCAATGTCCGTATCAAAGTGATTCTCGGTCTGATGCAGGCGACACTGTTGGCGCAGGTAACGGCGCAAAAACATCTGATAGTTGCTGTGTGTTATCTCATTGGCTACCGAATGTAGCGCATCGCAGCCGGTCAGCAAACGTACAATTAATTCCGGCACTAGGGCAACCTGATCCTCATCGCTGGTACCATCGGAAAGCAGCGCCGATTCAAGATCCTGCAAAGCAAACAAATCATTTTTAAAATACACAGCAAAGATGAGAATTTAACTGAATAAGTATTACCTCAATATCAATATCGGGCAGATCGAAAGCGGAACTAAACAATGAACAGAAATGTGAAATACACGGTATCTCCCACCATGATTGTATGTCTGCGTATAGAAAGAAAACAAATGCATTTACAAGCAACTATATATATAGAGAGATATAGATCAGTATTACTTACCCAATAGGCCTATGAAAGTAGAAACCATTTATGTATGCTTGCGTTTTGGAAACTTGGGCTGCTCTGCAAGTTGTAATTAAAAACAATTCTTTTCTTTGTCGTTCCTTGTTGCTGAATCGTTTAACAAACTCTGTAAGAATTAATAGATTGAACTAGTTAGAGGAGCTTGAGTTGAGTTGGGGATTATAATTGATATATATATATATATATATATATATATGATTTATTAAGAATCCCTATTCTAAAAACCCTAACATTAATCATATGCTGATATTTCAACTCTTCCTATTGATGTCCATCAAGAATATTTTGCATATACTTTATAGAATCGATAAAGCCGCCTTTATAAGCCTGCCCAACTATCTGTTTGCCTTGTTGCACACTGCAAAAAACACATATATACACACATACACACACAGTCTCAATGGCGGCAAAAATCAAGAACGCGTGTGCAACATGTGTGCGTGTATATCTATGTGTGTGTGTGTGTGTAGTTGTTCTGCATATGTATGCGTTGTTATTGTTTTATTATTTGAAATAGACACAAACACGAGCTTATCAATTGTCAAAAGCGCGCGCGTAGCAAATTGCGATACACAACACACACACACACACATGCACACGAATACACTTGCATTTGCACACCCACACTATTGTTTTTTTTTTGTTGGTTTTAGCGCTGCAGAGAGAAAGAAAGTACACGCGCACCCCTTTGGCGCGCTTAAATTGAAGAAGAGAAAATCAAAACAGATGGCCAATAAACTAGCCCACAAACAAAAACAGAGGAGGGCCAACCGCATGGGCGTGAGTGGGATGGCTATATGGCGGGGCACTGTTGTTCAGTGCTAGTTGTGCCGTTCACTTTTTTCCACACAGCACTGTTGATTTCTTGGCTGCTGGTCGATTTTTTGTTTTACCCCTGCCACACACCGCACACCACTCTCTCCATCTCTCTCTCACTCGCTCCTTCAATATTTTGGCCTGCTGTCTGCACTTTTTTTTTTAAATAATTAATAAGCACACATACAAACACGCACACTCACGCACTTTACACATTTGTTAAATGTTAATAGTTAATTTCGCGCGAATTAGTTTGAGGAGCATGCGCCGCCAGCGACAATCCCTTGTTGCCTGCTGCTCCTCTGCCTCCTCTCTGCCCCTTTGCCTGATGCCTGACTGCCTGCCCTGCTGCTGCTGCCTGTGTGTATATATTTTTTCATTTGCGCTTTCCTTTTGCCGTAACAGTGAAGCACTCAATTGGACGATGACAACTGCCGTACATTTAATTATTCCATTATAATTTCACCAGCTGTATATTGTGTGGGTGCACGTCACTGTTTCGGTTTGTACTTAATTATTGTATTCTTCTCCACATATAAATAAATATATAATTGGTGGACGAATCAATCTTACCGAACGACAGAACTTAAGCAATGCGACTCAAACTGTGAGCAAGACCATCAAACTGTAGCTCTGTTATGCTCTCCATTCTATCGATATGCACGCCGTGCGGGTATTGTTGTATCGATATATCGACTTGAAATTGCCGAATTTTATTATTTAATTTTTTAATTCTTTTGCTTACAAATTTAATAAATTAACTTTGAATACATTTTTTGTTACCTTTATTTTCGCTTAACTCAACGTAGTATTATATTAACTGGGTGAGTTCTCTCGAATTGATTTCGGCACGCAGCCAGTTCTATTAATTTTCCACAAGGTGTCGCTGCTGGAAGTTTACTATATCAGCCAGCTTTCTGTTGTGTGAGCATTCAACACACTGTGCAACAAATCAAACATCGCAAACTAACATTTTTGCATTAAACAGTGCAATATAAAAACAAAATACAGGCCCTAGTAGTAGTAAAATAATCAAGTTTTTCACTGTAAATTTGGACTCAAAAGTGAAATATGTATTTAAAAAATTTTGAAAGAAATTGTAATTTTGTTTATCGATTCGAGAAGTCGATTAATTTTTGCGCACTTGTCCATCACGCAGAAAATGCATTGAATGCAAAATTTAAAATCAAATTAGAGAAAGTGTGATCACTGTACATGTGTGTGTGTGCCATCTCTCTCACTCTCCCTCTCTCTCTCTCTCTCACTCTCACACTTAGGAGCTGCTTCTGCGCAGCGAAAAAACACGTTGTGTTTGATGTTGTTGTTGTTGCCTTTGAGCATTTTCCAAGTGTGAATTTTTAGCAGATTTGTTGTTGTTTTTGGGATTTTTGTTGTTGCTGCTGCTGCTGTTGTTGTTTCTTTTTGTTATCCTTCAGCGGTTGCTCCATGCTGGGTCCCTTCAAACGCTGCTCGGCAGAGAGCAGAAATCCCGTTAATTTGCCATCCCAAATAATTAATCGAATTGGAATCACCGATAGCAATTCCAATTTTGTTGGCTTCTGTTGCAAATTGCGTTCCGCAACCATAATAAAATTAGGTACATTGTGCGTATCGATAAGAACACGTTGCATCTTATAGTTGATGCTGATCACATGGCCCGATTCCAAGGTGACCACATTCATCATATGCTGAAAGATCTCGATGACAACGGCACGCATATAGATCGCCTGGCGATTGCTCACATAGCGCTTGAAGAACAAATTGCCCGACTCATCGCCAGCCAGTTTGGCATTATATTTACGATCATTGGCCAATTTGGTCAACTGATGCAGTTCGTCGGTGGAGCGCTGAGGCGCAGGACAGTAGTTGAGGCCAGCAGCAAGGAGACTGGAAGCATGGAAAGCGTGTGAATTAAAGTTAGATACATTGTATATAATATTTTATTACATATACTGGTCTGTGTCCGCTTCAGATCAAGTGTAAAAAGTGGTAAATCGATAAGAATCGGTAGTCGCAAATCGATAAATCGGCATATCTCGCACAATTTAAGAACTACAGTTACCAAACTTGGGAGGAAGCTTACTATGAAACTCCTCCACGCCCACACCCGCTCCCAAAATTCACTAAAGTCTACATCCACCCCAATTTTAAAGGCAAACGTGGACGGCAGATTGCTAGAAATCTCCTTCAAATATCTGTATTTCTGGGCTATACCCACCCTATGCTTTGATACCTGTTGTCAGCTGGTATTACTTATGGTATCTGGGTATTTCGTAGTCGGTTACGCCCGACTGCAACGTTCGCTCTTGTTATATTTGGAGTTTGAACTCACCGATGAACCATCACGTCCGGATAGCGTCGAATGGGACTGGTGAAGTGCGTATAGATGGGAATGGATAGCGCATAATGCCACAAATCCGATGCCTCAGTTTTGCCCTCGCTGCAAAAGTAGCTGCAAGCAACAGAGGGCAACAGAGATTAATCATATTTAGAGTGTGAGGGATTGAGTGCACTTACTTGGCGCGTGCCATGGGCTTCATCAGCAGCTGGCTGAGGCAGGCGGTCATCGCAACGGGATCGTTTGCCTCGTTGCACAAACGTTGCATGCTCGCCTGCAGACTCTTCGAGGAGCTGTAATCCAGATCGTAGCCCCGCGAGAGGAGTTTCTCGCGCAAGGCTTTCAGCGATTTGGTCAACGGCGGCGGATGATGGCGCAGAATGGCAATATTCGGAAAGGCATCGTGGATAAAGCGAGCAACTGCCTGATTGGCGAGCAGCATAAATTCCTCGATCATGTGATTCGCCTCGCGTTGCTTCTCCAGCTCAAACCCGATGGGTTCACCGCTAAGCGGATCCAGATTGAAGCGCACCTTGGCATTGTTGATGGTCAAAGCGCCATTGACGAAGCGCTCGCTGCGCATATTCCTTGCAATGGCATTCAACCAGGTCACCCGTTTGACAATATCCTCGACACTGAATCCATTGAGTATGCTGGGAAAATCATCAGCAGTGAATTGCTCGCCGGGATTATCGATAATCTTTTGGGCATGCTCATAGGCGAATTGTGTACACGAATTAATCACCGATCGTGTAAAAACTGGTTTATCCAATTGCTTGCCCTTGGCATCCATGTACCAGAACACGGAGAAGGCGTATTTATCCTCACCGGGCAGCAGGGAGCAACGGAAGCACAGCGGCTGTGGCAACATGTGGATGACCTCATTGGCCAAATAGATCGATGTGGAACGCTTCTTGACAATGTTATCCAGCTCGCTATTCTCCTCCAGATAGTGCGACACATCCGATATGTGAACACCAATTTGGTATTTATTCTCGTCCAGTTGCTCAATGGAGAGCGCATCATCGAGATCCCTGGCAGTCAGTGGATCGATTGTGAAGACGCATTGCTTGCGCATATCCCGACGATTCACCAGATCCTTCTCGCCAACTGGCGCCGCTGGCTGGGCATACATCTCATTGAACCGCTGCTCAAACGGCACCACATCCCGGAGATTATTGTGAAAGAGTATCGCCTTGAGTTCATCCTCTAAGTTACCCACACGGCCCACCGGTTGCACCAAATCCGCTATGCAATGTCCATTCGCATCCGTTTCGAGAATGTGTGCCACATACAACAATCCACACACCTCATCCGACTTCCGATCGCCAATGTGAATGGCACAACTGGCCTGCGCTATATAAACCATTGGCATACGCAAATCAAAGGGTCGAAATTTATAGAAGAGTTCATCGTCGCCGAGCTTGGTGGGATTCGTGAACGAGATGCTGCCAACGATCTGACGCAGCTCCGTCTGCTTAATTATCGCTATGACGAAGGCCTTGGGGCAGTTATCGGATGCAATAACAGCCACATTGTCATCTTCGGTATCTGGTGACTCGGACTCCTCCTCCGAGAGCTCCTCGTTGTCACCTGAAATGAATGGGAAATGTGATTGCAAATCTGTTGCTTAGATTGCTGATTGCTAGTGACTCAATTTACTCACCCAACGAAATCGATGGCTTGCCACCAATAATGCGTCCTGCACGCGGTTCGCTTGCCTTGGTGACAACTGCACCTGCGTTGAGGACAAAGGCACGGACAATATCACCCTCGAAGGCATAGCGACGTGCCACCGGCAACATGACCATGCCATCCTGATCGAGTGCCTCTCGATCCGTTGACATCGTGATGAATGCCTGTCGATTGTTCTTGCGATTCACACGAATCTCAGCCTCCACAATCCGCCCATAGCCGGCGGAAACGAGTCGCCTGGCATGCGACTCCAAGTCGCCAAAGTCACCCTCAAAGCGCAGCTCAGGCGTCAACGAATGCTCCTCGCCGCCAACATACTGCTGCACAATCCGATTGATGTAAACACGCATTGCGTCCAGTTCGCTGATCTGGGAAGTTGTCAAATTCTTGCCATTGCGGCGTTTGCGATTGCGCTTGCGTTGCGTCAAGTTGTTTTCGTCCTGCTGAGCTGATGATGATGTTGCTCCGGCGCCTGCCTCACTGGTGCTGCTCGCGCTGGACAACTCGGATTCACGACGAGCAGGGCGCTGCTGCTGCTGTTTTTGCAGCTTGGCTTGCGTCTGTAGCTGCTGGCGATAGTTAGGATCTGTGGCAGGAGCTGCAGCTGGGGCGCGCGCACAGCCATTGCTTGGTTTCGGGAGCAGCCCATCCAGCTGGCAAAGCACCTCGCTCTGACTGATCAACTGCTGGGCATGGGCTTTAACTCCCGGATTGGAGACTGTTAACTTTTTGATTAGATCCTTGAGCGCGTCCACCTCCGCTTTGAGGTTTGAGCGCGACTTGCGCTTCGCTCTCACCCCCGGCACAGCTGGAGCCTGTAAGGCAGCCACTGACTCTGTAGTTTTTGTTAGTGCTGCAAGTTGGAGTTGCACTTGAATTGGCAGTACGGCTGGTTGCATGGGCAAACGCTGAGGGGCTGGCAGGGAGTAAGCATGATTATTATTCTGGGTGGCGGCAGTGATTGTTGTTGTTGTTTTTGCAGCAGTTGCAGTAGCTGCTGGAGCAGCTGCCGGCAGGGGAACACCCATCAGCATAGCCAACGATTGCTCGGAGTTGCGCTGTTGCTGCTGCTGCCTCGCTGTCATCTCCAGTTGCGTCTGTTGCAATCGCACCGCCAGCTTTTGCGAGCGTAGCCGCAGCAGCTCAATGGATTTCGGATAATCATCGGTTGCATCGGTTGCAGAATGTCGCAGATTTTTGCCACTGTCATAGCTGCTCAAACTCGACGTATTTGACATTGTTTCGCTGTTAACTTTAACTTTCTTCTTTGTTCCTTTGCTTATTTTTTCTATATATATATATATATATATATTTATTTTTTTTTTTGTTTATCTAGCAGCGTATTTCACCAATTGAGGCAACGTCACCCTCAAAATGTTGTTTATGTTAAACTGCCTTCTCTCCGTATTTCAATCGCTCTCTTTGCGAAGCACGTCACGAGTTGTGCTGTAGCAAATTTGTTACAAAATTCAACTTTGACTATAAAAATTTAAAAAACAAAACGTCAATAAATGGGAATCAATTATTTCACAAACTAACAATTTTGGTGTATTATCTGCATTATATCGAAATATAAATTCAATTCCACTGTGACGTCAAATCTGCAAAAATAGTGCTGAAAAGTGCATATTTAATCGATTACAAACACATGCTGCCCGTATCGATATGGCCTCGAAAATGCAGTCATGTGTTGTGTATGCGTAGTGTTGTGAAACCTTCGCGCCATTTTCTGCTTATTGCTTTTGCCTCTTGCGTTATCTGCAGAATTCCTATTTTTTGATTCACCCGAGATGTATCCAAAACTAAAGAACGCCCGATAAGTGTGTGTCAAAATCGCGTGCTTGTTTTGTGTACATATATATTTAGATATATATATGCATGTAGTTGTGTGTGCGTGTGCAAGAAAACAAGGTACACATTCACTGTTTATTTATGTATGTAGATCTCGCTCTCTCTCGCTTTGTTGCAATTTTATAAGTTTGGCTTTTGTATTTACAACTTGCTTGCCAATTGTTGAACGCACATACCCAAATACACACACACACACATATATACAGTCACACAGTTCACACATAACACTCTGAGACACACACACACACACTATGTACGAATGTAAAAAAAGCGAGAAACGCCACAAAAATGACTGATGTAAATTGTCTTACAAGTGAGAATACAACAACAACCACAACTGCAACTGCAACAGCAATAGCAACTTTAAGCACACCACCAAAAAATGTATTGGAGCCGCCAACATCTCCATTCGTATTGAGAGCACCGCCCAGCGCCAAATCCAAATTGATTCTACAAAATATGGAGGAGGTGCTGTACTCCGTCAAGCAAAAGCATCGTGAGAAGCACAAGCGAAAGCGTGAGGAGAAAAGACGCGCTGCCAAAGCAGAAGCAGAGGCACAGCAGCAACAACAACTAATGACAACAGCAGCAACAACAACAGTGAACAATGATCGCCACGTGCTGCGCGAGAAAACCGCGCAACGTGAGAATGGAGCAGCTGCAGCAATTGCTGAAGGCAAACGAAAATCGAATGCGAATCCCTTGAAGAGCACCACTCCAGTCAGATCCGAGCACAATCAGCCGACGATCATCAAGCATTTTGATGCCAAGGCTGGCGAGAAAGCGGAGAAACCCAAAGTGATGGCCACCAATGTCTTTGAGCTGATGATGAATGCACGCAATGCCCGCCCTCTGGGCACAAATCCAAATGGGCAACAGTCACCGCCAGATCAGCAGGCGACGGCGACGGATTGTGATTTGTTGGCGACGACGCCGCAAACGAAACGACGCAAGCAAATGTTGCACGAATGGAATGAGAAAAAGGGCGCCGCCAAGCGACGCATTGCAGACGATGCACGTGGCGAGTATATCGAGCAGCGAATGGATCAGCGAGCCAAAAGGTAAGATCTATTGATACATTCTTAGGCTACACAATATAACCGAGTCCACTTGTAGATTAAAGAAAATGCTGACGACCCAGCAGCCCGAGAAGAATGTGGAGCAGCAGCTGCAAACCTCATCGGCGCCAGTGAAGCGTCCACGAGGACGCCCTCGCACGCGACGACTCAGTGCGGATGTTGCTGTGGATGCTGTGGCAGATGGTGGCAAAGTGGCTGCAGATGATGCAGTTGAGTTGCTGGCCAAGAAACGGGACAGCCTGTTGGGCTACTTTCCCAAGGTGGTGTCGCCAAAGGATGCAGTCGAGCAGCAACCAGAGACGCCCCGACGACGGCCGAGGGGCAGCAGAACTGTGCTCAACACGCCAGTGGCAGTGACGACTTCATCGGGTCGCCCGCGACGCTCGTGTGCCACAAAGGCGCGCTACGACTACGACTTGGAGCCAAGTCCCACCAAAGCAGCGAAGCAACCAGTTGAAGAAGCCGCTTCGGATTCCGTTGAGATCATCAATCTGGATGATAGCAATCCGGCAATGACGCCCAAGAAATTGGCGCCACTCTTTGTGCGTCAGCTGCCCAAACCCTGTCTCGATCCGACAGCGTTGCGTGCACGCCACGAATTTCTGCACTCGGGTGTGCCCGAGAAGCTCAAGCAGGAGCAGCAGCGTCAGCGCTGCTTCGAGCAATACTACGAGGACAACTACGAGCTGTTTCCACGCATAGCGCACGTTGGAGCAGACAGCACGAAACCAGCTCTAGTTGCGCCTCTAAAGTGGCGTGCGGAGCATGAGCAGGAGGATCACATGGAAACGGTACGCAAATGCCGCCCTGGCAGCATAACCAGCTGCACTGCCTCTGATTTTGTAAACTCCAAGCGGAAGTCAACAAGATTTGTGTTTAGCCCACTGCCACTGCTGGACAACAAGCGTTCCATAGTCAAGAGCTGGAAGAGCATCTTCGAGCGTTTTCCCACCTTCAAGTGCTACAATCAGATGCGTGAGAAGTACAGGCACTTTAGTGCCATCGACGCAGCGCAGGATACACAACCGATGGGTGAATCGTTTGTGGTCACGCGACGCACACGTCGCTCCATGGAACAGCTGCAAGCTGCGGTGGCGGCGGCGGCAGAGGAGGAGGAGGCAAAGCCTCCGGCGCTGGCACCCAACGGCGAGCTGCTCTTCACAGAGAAATACAAACCGTTGCTGTTCGAACAGGTGCTGGTGAATCTTAGCCCAGTGCAGGAGTTGCGTGACTTTCTCTCCAATTGGAATGGTGCCGGCCATCGCAACTCTCAGACACCAACGGATGACGACGGCTCCATTGACTTTGGCCACGATTCCAGTTCCATGGGCATCAATTGTAACACAATGGTGCTGCTGGGTCCTTGCTCGAGCGGGAAAACGAATGCAGTATTTGCGCTGGCCAACGATATGAACTTCAATGTGCTCGAGATAAATGCGGGCATGCGACGCACGGGCAAGAAACTGGTGCAGGAACTGCAGGAGGCGACGCAATCGCATCAGATACGGAAGGAGGCAAAAGCTGGTGCGGCACGCACACAACAACTCTTACAAAAGATGCAACAGAACGCGGCCAAGCGGCCACAACACGCCGCTGGCGATGATGATGTGCGTAAATCCCTCATACTCATCGAGGATGCGGACATATTGTTTGAGAATACTGATGCTGGTTTCACGGATGCGATTTACACGCTCGCCGCCAGCTCGAAGCGACCCGTCATCATTGTCGCCACGGATCCGAACTGTGCGCATCTCCAGCGCTTGGTGCAACAGAATAAAATCAACTTTCAATCGCCGAATGCATTGAACATCTCTCGATTTCTCGCCGTGCTCGCCCTCATGGAGAACTGCCCAATTGAGCTGGACGAACTGATCTCGCTCTATCTGTACAACAATCAGAATTTGCGCAAAACTCTCATGGAACTGCAGTTCTTCATACAGAGCGGAGGGGATGCGGCGACCGCGAGACTGCTGCCCCAGGCACTCAAGTCACCCAACAAATCCCCAACACTGGCTCTCCAGGATGATGGCGTGCACATCCATCAGCGTCTCTTTGAGTTTTATACAACCGCACAGAATGTCCAATATTTTATACCATTTCCAGTTGATTTTCGCCTGCTGCGCTTGAATCTGAGCGGGTTTCTGCGGCACTCAACGTTGCTGCGGCAGCAGGCGGATCAGCCGGCAGCAGCGAGACGTAGTGGTGGCAAATCGCGCAAGTCGTCGTGTTCACCAAAGAAGGCGTGGCTGAACAATGCCACAACAACCAACCACAATCACAGCAAGAGTGAAAATGCAGCTCCGCTGCAAACTTTGGCCACGTTCTATGAGCATCTGTCGACGGCGGCGCTGCTGGACGCTGGTGGACTGCAGCTGGAGGGTAGTGGCAAGGATCGCCTGCAGTCGCATCTTGCCGAGCAGCTATCGCATTCGTTGGTCGAGCGAGCGGTGAACACGTGCCTGGCTTCGAAGGATTATGCCTACAATCTGTTTGACAAGACGGAGCAGCGGTGAGTCTAAAAGATTTCTCATCTCCACTTACCTTGCAATTACATTTCTCTGCTTGTTTTAGACTCAATTTGGTGGACCAACTGGGCAGCTGTTGTCTGCGCACCTCCGGCGCCCGCTACTTGGACTTTGAGCCGGCGATGCGTGCGATTTGCCGCAGTGAGAAGCAGCGGGCTGGTTTGGAGCGACGCTCCAGTCGCTTCTATCACTATCTACGCAATCATACCGTGAACAATGTGAGCAACTTTTCCACGGATCTGTTCGATGCCGCCTGCCACGTGCTGCCAGCTGAGCAAACGGAGACGGAAACGCCAGCATTTAATTAGTCGAATATATTAGTGCAAATTTGTTGAGGAGGAGTCCAGATCCGATCACAATCCCAAAACCCGTTAAAAGTGTAAAGTGAACTTTTTATTCACATTATTGCGTTACGCAAAAAGTTGATCTTGTTCTTAGACTATTCTATACTTATTGGTTAGTTATGCACGGCGGTATGGAGAGAGAGAGACATAGAGAGAGTTACCACAATAATTACTATACTAAAACGACCTGAACTATATGTTAATAAAAGCTAACAACAACACACACAATAAGCAATTGCTCAGCAGCAGCAGAGGAAACCTCCGCTGGACTTCTCCGCCTGGGTCACCTCTGGCAGTTCGGATTTGGTGGACTGTGCGGATTTGGCTGGTGCTGTTTGTGGCCTTGGCTGTTCATCGATGGGCGACACTTCGCCAATTTTAAACTCTTTCAGCTGATCCAGCGCATCCTGCGAGTGTCCGGCGCTGTTGAATGCTTTCGTCGCATCCTTGCCGGCCACCTCGAGTATGACATCATCGCCGCCAGGATGATCCTTGATAAAGTCTGTCACATCGTAGACATTCCCCTTGTAGATTATCCAAACGGGTTTGCCATTTTTACCGTTGCGCTCCGCAACCTCGGATTTCTGATAGATTTGCGACATTCTGTGAACGTTACTAATTCGATTTTGGTGTGCGGCCGCTATCTGAACGCGATAAGAGGTATTTAATTTTATAGTTAGCTAAATGCCTTTATCATGTTGTTGAATGACACATCGAAAATGCAATCTATTTTTGGTAAATTGCTGTGCTTCAGCGTACTATTCAGCGAGCGCTACACATGCTACTGTCTCCTGTCTGCAGACTTATTTATATTTATATTTAAGTTACAAACGTTTGAATACGTTTTGGCTCTTAGGCGCGGATCGATAAGAAATACGTGAGAATTTCAATTCGCCTCCACCTAATACCATTTTTTGCGTGTCACTCTGACGAGTGCTTAATAAGTTGGCATATTCCTTAAGGGGGAATTACTTGCTCTTAGGCGTTTAAGGTCAACTTGGGAATTCCAATATTTCTTTGAACGATACTCAAAAAAGCGTTAACCACTTTCTTTTTAACAAGCAGTGCAATCAGTACTGCTTGTTCAAATAGCTCTGCTTGCTGGCTTACTTACTATTATGACTAACTGCATATACAGCTATAGGAATTATCATTTTTGTTTAGGAAACCAATAGCTGTCGCTAGTAATGCGCCTTTTACTATGTGTATTTGAATAATTAAGGGCATCAGCTAGTTTTAATATATAACACATAGTTTTTACTGCTTGATTTAGTGTGTATCCATACCTGAACTGCTTGCCTAGCTACTGTTGTGAGTAGCTGCATATATCAATAAGCAATAATCATATGACTGTGAACAAGCCTCAACTGTCGCTAGTCGTGTGACTAGCACTGTGTTCCGCTGTGTCTTTGCTGAAGTGCAGTTTTCATGAACTGCTTATTCATATATCTCACTTACCTGCACTGCTTGTAACCAATTCTTATATCTATAAGAAATATTAACACTCAACTTTCACAGTGTATTTTACCCACTATTAAGTTTAAATAGGATTCGTAGACATTTGTTTTTGTTAGATTTCAATGTTATATTCATGAGACAACAACAATAATGAGTAATAATTTTAATATAGTATGATGTATTTCGCTTTTTATATATACTATGTATGCATTTTCCTTCAGCATTTATTATTTCGTTTTTCATTTGTTTGTTTTTCTTTTTGTTTCTGTTTTTTGTTTTTTGTTTTGAATGCCCTTTGTTTCGATTTAAAAATTTCGCTAGTATTTAGTTGAACTCTTCGCTTTGCAATGTTTCGAGTATTTTTTCGGCTACTGTTTTTCATCATTATCATTATTATTATTTTTATTTTGGATCATCACATTGCCTTGATTCAAAATGTTAAGAACCAAAAAAATAAATAATTAAAATTGTGCATTTTGATCGCTTTTTCGCTATTGTTTTTCGTTTTGTTTGAAGAGCTTTGTTTTGGATTGGCTGGAGTTAGTTTAATTTATAATTATTATAAACGCAATGCGACCCCCCGATTTCCCTGCTAAGTATTATTTGTATGTACATCATATAAAATATCAGTCAATGCCTTTGCTTCTTCTACTTTTTTTTCTTTTTTCTTTTTTTTTTGGTTTCTCATCGAGTACTACTAAAATGGCTCGTAGGACTTGCTGCTTAACAACTATTTAGTATCATTATCAATAATTATCTAGTTGGATTCGCTTGTTTACTGTTTTCTGTTTTCGTCTAATTTTGTATTGTTATGCTTTAATGGATCGTAAGTATTGAAACCATACAATGATTATATGTATATAGACAAGTTAATGGGAATAATCTATATGGTATTCCCCTTGTTGTTGTTTTGCTTTTTGCTTATCGTTTTTTGGAAGTTGGACATAAAAACTATGTGTGTTATATATATATATATATGTATGTATGTATATTGCAATTGTGTATATATATATATACTATATATATATATAGTATAGTTCGATAATGCCACTAGTTGAAGTGCTTTGATTGGAATTGCTGGTACTGCATCTAAATTGATTAATTATGTTAATTACTTACACACATCTCTCTCCCTCCCTCTTTCTCACTCTCTCTGCGTCTCTTTCGCTCTCTTTCTATACATACCCACATATTGTTCGTCTAGGACCAAAGGCAAAAAATATACATATATATAAATATATATATCATATTCTAATTGAACTAAATAATTGTCTGTGTTCCAGCTAAAAACCAAAAAAAAAAAACATACAAATTACAAATATTGCATATATTTATGTGTATATATAATCAAAAGTTTGGTGGTGGTGGTGGGGGATAGATAGATTTTAGTTTAAAACTATAGTTATATATTCAAACTATCAAAATACAATATGTACCGTACTGTTCCTATACTCTCTCTCTTTCTCTCCCTCCCTCTCTCTCTCTCTCTCTCTGTGTCTATATCCTTTATATGTATAAATATTTTAGCATGTGACAATATATGGAAATGAACTTCTCCCAACGATACAAAACTAAAGTGTGTCTCTTTCTCTGTATAAGTGTGTGTGTGTGTGATGGGGTGTATGTGTGTGTGTGTGTGTAGTATATGTGTGTGTGTGTGAGTTAGTGTCTCCTCCTCATCGTTTACAAATTAAATTCTGACTAATAAACAGTCTTTTCGTGCCAGCGCGAACTTCTTGAAACAGATGTGTTTTTTTCCTTCTTCTTTTAAATGTGGACTCCAATTGGAATTATTGCGTCGTCTCCTCCTGCTCCGGATGCAGATGCGGATTCGGATTCAAGTCGTGCGTTGTCGTTGTGGTTGTTGTGGTCGTTGTGCTGCCAAAACTGCAGGCGGTACTCTTCAGGGTCGCCGCATTGGAGATGGGCAGCGATTGAAGCGGTGCCGCTGCCAACGAGGAGGCCGATGACGATGCCGACACACAGGAGGGAATGCTGGACGCTGATGAGGACATGGACGCGGATGAGGCAAGTGAGGATGAGCACGCTGGCGTTGTTGTACCCGCCTGTCCCGTCGGCGACTTGGGCGAACTGATGCGTGAGAAGAACTTTGTTATGGCATTCGGTTTGGATTTGGTTGCTGCCGCCGCAAGAGCACTGGCAGCCGCCGCCGACGAGGAGGAGGCGGCGCTGATGGAGTTGTTGGACGTGGAGTTGGAGGTGGACGTTGCGCACGTTGTCAAACGATAATTGGAGGCAGCAGCAGCAGCAGCTGCACTACAACTAATCTGCTGTTCGGGCACATCGCGTACGGTCTTATTGGGCGGCGGCTTCGTGTAGGAGCGTGTGATTTCCGATTGCTATAATTGAATCGTATTAGTTACTATCTTTGCTGAGTGTGGGGATTGCACATCGCTCACCTGATAGCTGCTGCGTATTTGCAGATGACGATCCTGTCCGTACTCGCTGTCCGGCAGTGGTACATGATGTGGGCAGCGGGGCGTCTGCTGTTGCTGCAGCTGATATTGGTAATGTTGATGATGATCCGCACTGTGGCTGTTTAGAGAGCCACACGACGATGCCGACGACGAGCCGCATGATGATGATGTGCTCAAATCACCCTTGTTGCTCCCGCTGCCGGTGTTGCCATATTTCAGTGTGGTCGCCTCAATGCCGCCACTTGCCACATTGTTGCTGCCACCAAATTGATTAATACTATTATGCGTGTTGTAATTGTTGTTGTTATTGTAGCTGCTGCTGCTGGGGGGCGGATTTGTCATACGATGTTGTTGTTGTTGGTACAGATAATGTTGCTGCTGTTGTTGCTGATGGTGGGAATGTTGTTGCTTATTGTTGTGATGATGATGATGCTGATGATGGTGTTGATGATGTTGTTGTTGTTGCTGTTGTTGCTGCTGCAGCTGCTGCTGCTGCTGCTGCTGCTGGCTGTTGCTGCTGCTGCTGTTGTTACGAATCACAGTTTCGCCTCGTGCGGCAAGAAGCTCTCGTGCTTGGAGCGCATCAACGCGCATTCTACATCTAAATTGATCCCTGTGAAGCATCAAATCTTTATTAGTATAATACCAGAGTAATGAACTTCTCTAGCGTACACTCAGAAAAAAACAATCGACCTGAATTCTCTTGTTTTTAGAAATAATTTCTTAACATTATTAGTATTAAATGCAAGCAAATCCTAATTCGGAATTTAGAGTTTCTATAGTCCAAAGCGATGGGCTTTTGTGAGTGTATACAAATTATATATATATTTATAGATATAGATATATACCTTTCATCGGGTGGTGTGCCTAACGATGTGCGGGTCGGAACGCCAAGCCGCTCCATTCCCGCGCAGCCGGCCGTCTGTACCGATAGCATCTGCAAGAAAGAAAACCATAAATTAGATTTGATATTGCTTCGATTTGATATCCATAAACTATAACAGATTCCTACTATAATGTGGCTTGTCTACGGCCAGCTGTTTATCCTGACAGCTGACCACTTCCTGGGCAGTTTGAAAGCGCGGCAAGAGCAGCCAGCGCTTGAGCACCAATGGCCTGCCAAATGTGCCATCCTCGCTGCTCTCAAAGAACTCAATCTCAATTTGCATTTGATTCAGATTAAGCTGCTTCTGCGCCTGCTGCTCCTGGGCCAGAGCCTTGAAGAGCAAGTGACCCGTGTAGCTGAGACTCGGACGCATCACAAACGGTTGCTCCACAAAGAGGAGCGTTTGCGACCACAGCGATTTGAGTGGAGTGCGCAGGCAGGGATTACAGCTAAGTTGGAGCGGCTGATGATGATGGGCACGACTGAAGCCCACATCAAAGTAGAGGACAAAGCACTCACAGTAACCCTCCTGCTCCACCTGCAACCGAAACTGACGATCTATTTGCAGATCCTCCACACGAGCCGTAGCCACATTCAATTGGAGCACTTTGTGGGCCAAGGTGAGCAGCTGCTCGCCATGCGTCTTGACAAAACGTGGCTCCGCCAGTGAATAACGACGCAGTGCGTTCATATTGAAACCATAGACATTCAGCCACCAATTGAAGCGATCATTCTTCAACAGCTGATGTGCCCCGCCCAGCAGATAAAGTTCACCCAGATCGGGCAGAATGAAGCCAGCGGGTTTGAGCCAACGATCTCGTGCCTGCAGTAGCTCCACCAGTTGCGATTCGTACAGCAAACAATGACCCATCCAATTGCAAATGATGCCATCCAACTGCTGGGGCAGCTCCACATCAGAGACACGTCCGTGGAGCACTTGGATGACATGCGCATAGCTGCTATGCTTCACCACCAACTGAGCATAGTCGGTAACATTGGAGTTATCCATGGCATAAACAGTGGAGGCGCCTGCCTGGGCGGCCAACAGTGCCAAGGTGCCGGTGCCACAGCTCAGGACGAGAATCGTGCGTTTCTCGAAGAGATGACGATTCTCCTCGATGGCCGTTTGAAAGAAGTGCATGTGCTGTTGATCCTTCTGCATGCAGCGCATATTCTCCAAATGCGCCCCGAAATCGTGACGGAAATCCGCCGAAGTCATTTGATCCACGGAGCGCAGCTCGTGCGGCACAAGACGATCGGCGAGGGAAAATGTTGTCCGCTCTTTGCGCTGCTTGACATGTGTTTTGGTCGTGATCTTATTGTTGCTGGACATCATTTAAACAAACAATATAAACAAATTGGAATCCAAAAGCCAAATACACATTTGCAAAGAGAACAAAAAGCGAACGACCGCAAGAATTACAACCCTGTATGCAAATGCAAGCAATGGGTGGCAGCGCCAATATGCCAATTGGCGGGGGAAATTCAAAAAGCTGTTTTATTAAAAATTAGCTAACTTTACATAACGTTTGGTATTGAACACCTGTGTTAGATTATTAAAAAAAAACCTCATATAAATTCATATAACCCATTAAAGAGGCTGATCCACACTTAAAATCCATACCAATTTGAAAGTGCAACTCTGGCGCGAAAATTGAAATCGATCAGTAGTGGCAACGCCATTACTCTTATTGGCAACTGCGCCAGTGCAATGAAAAGCCTGAGAAAGAATAACAAAACTAATTAACAAAACGGTAATTGCAGCGATCAGCTATAAGTTGCTGTGTACATTAAGCAATTAAAGGCACATGTTCACTAAATAACAACAATAACCGACTAACGGTACTGATCAAACCTAGGCATACACACGCACACATACACACATGCATAAATAGGCATATGTATGTGTTCTGCCCGTTGACACGATTCATTCTGTGTCTGTCCCACATTTAATTATTTTTTGTTTTGTTTTTGTAGTTGCTGCTCCTCCCCCAGCCTTACCTGCCGATTGATGTGTTCAAGTGAACGTGACAGATGACAAATCTAGCAAATAATTCGTTTTTCACCAGACGTTCTTTGCTTTGCTAATGCCCCCATTAAAATTAATCAAAATGTTGCAACCACATTACGAAATTCTTGTACGTTGAAACATTGATAATTATATTAAAATGAAGCGGAAAAGGGCAATTCACCACGAAGGTTCCCCCGAACTAGTTCGTTACGCAAAATGATCAAACGGTAAAAAAAAGAAAAGCTGCGCTTCATTTCTTCAATTCTTCAATTGTGTGTGTGTGTGTCTGTGATGCTGTAAAGCTAATTATTTTGATTCATTGCTGCGTGTGTGCGTGCAACATGTAACGGTAATAATGGAAACGTGCCGCGCTGCTGCCGCTACTGGCGCTGCTCCCGTCTTGGCTTGGTGTGAACAGACGCATATATTTAATAATCAAATTGAATTATTCATTGGCTAACGGCGGCAAATAAAATTCGATTAAAATACACAACGCACACAAAAACGCGCTTCGTCTGCGAAAGTCGGCGGCAAACGCCTTGGGTTATTAGCAACAATTGTGTTTCTTCTTATTGCGTTGGCTGCTTCTGCTGCGGCGGCTGCTGCTAGACTCCCAGCAGCGCAGCCGCGAGCAAAGGCAGTTACGACGCCCACGCAACGATTCCAGCTCTGTTCTAAATGTCAAGTCACGCATGCATGTGTGTGTGTGTGTCTGTCTCTTTCTCTCTGCTGATGCCCAGATGATAGGCAGCAAAATCGCATTAGGGCATATGGATATGCAAGTGTGTGTGCCTCTGTGTGTTTACAGTGGCGGCTTAAAAGTTCACATTTGAAGTTATTCTTATGCATTTATACAAGTCTGTGCACAGTGGCGTCACAAGAAATAAGAACTCTACAAACTGTTAATTATTGATTTCTAAATTTAATTTTTTTAAATTGTTATATTATCATCTTTTATGGTGTCTTTTAAAGGCAGCTCAAGTTAAAAAAATAAAGAGAAAGTAATTATTTTAAGTTGCCAAATGTGTGAGACACCACTGTATTTTTTTTTCAAAGACAATGTGAACTCACACGCACACAGACTCAACTCTGTATGTGTAGGCTTGTAATAAATAATCAACTATGTTTGAGTTGTCAGCACAACGAGCAATAATTTGTCAAGCGTCTCTTCGTCTTCTACTTCATCGTAATCTTTGCCGTCCTCTTCATTTTCTATGCTTTTGTGGCTTTAGCTGGCGGCATATTGCTTTGGTCTTCAAATGCAGGCATTCCCCTCTCCCACATCAAGATGTGCTTATGGCTTAACTACATAATGTACATATTTATATCTGGCTTAAAGCTGAAAGCGTTTAACAGTTGATAGCTGCAGGTGTCGTCAGGGCCATCGTCTTCAATATAAAGTCAAGTAAATTCAATTTACTCCCATTACAATAAAGACATAACACAGAAAAATAAAAATCGAAATAAGAAGAAGAAAATCGGGGCCATTGATCGAAATTTAAGGCATAAATTCAGACTCAGAGAGACTCGCTGAGATAAACGTGCCATGCATCCGGCAGATACTTTTGCACCATAATAATGGCCAACACGGCGCACGTTCCAGCCTGTCTCGCACGTTGCATAACACGACCCAAAAAAAAAGAAAAAAAAAACAACAAATCAGGCAAGAGGCGGAGAGAACGCAAAAGGCAAAAGGCACAAAGCAATAGGCAACAGCGGCCGCAGCAGCAGCAGCAGGCAATCAAATTCCCTCATTGATTTACTTGCCAGTGTTGACGAGCTAAGCAAGTTGCCAAAATGAGCTAAGTTTCAGCTGCTTTTTATCTGCTTTTGTATTTCTGACATTCAATAAATAAATAAATGAGTAAAGGTTATTTTTCTTCTTTTTTATCATCTCATTTTTAAATATGCCGAAGCCATTATTTAGTAATTTCCTTAATCAAGCAATAAATAAATAAAAAAAGGTAATTTTTCACTTTTCTTCCCTTTCTAAATAAATAAAAAAAGGTTCTTTTTAGTTTTTGTCCTTTTTTAAACATGCTAAAGTCATTGTTTGGTAATTTCCGTAATCAAGTATCCGCAAGAGCTTTAAAAAAATTCCCCCTTAAAAATTTAGCTGAGTTTCAGCTACTTTTTATCTACTTTTGTGTTTTTTTCATTAAATAAACAAATCAAAAAAGATTCTATTTGTTAATTTTCTTCACTTTTTAAAATATGCCATGTCATTGTTTGGTGATTTCCATAATCCAGCCAGCAATCATAATAGCTTTAAACTCCTGCCTCAAAATCAAGCTAAATGTCAAAATCTGCCAGCACTTGCTGTTACATAACATAAGCACACGACTCGAATGTCTGCCAGCCAGTTTTTCAGCTGGGAGCTGTTGCTTCAAGGACTCAGAGCCACCCACACACACAAGTGTTTCCCTTTGTGTCTGTGTGTTCGGGCTGCGGGCTTTTTGTCCGAGAGGCAAATGCAAAAAAAAACCGTAAGAAGAAACGTAAAGAGCACAAAGGGAATCGAGACGCAAGAGGAAAGCAAAAGCAACGTTTGCGCTAAACTTTTGACACGTGTCGTCGTCTTTGCATTGTGCTTCTTTTTCTTTTTTCTTTTTTTTTTCGGTCTCCGCTTTGCACTTGCCTTTTGCCTTGTTCTTGTTCACATATGCCTCCCCCTCCCACACTCCTGCTATACCCAGAGAATTCACTGCAAATGACGAAAGGAGGTTTGGTGAAGTTGTGCTCAAGTATGTAACAGGCAAAAGGAAATGTCCTCTCGACCCCTGAAGGCATATATATTCTTGATCAGGCTGTCTGTCTGCCTGTCTAAGCATGACGATCTATAAACTCTTGGTACTCTAAAGTTGACAAGTAAGCTCTCATATATTTGATTATAATCGATAACTTTCTTTGTTTCCAATAATGATAGAAATCCATTTCTAAAAGCAATACAACCCACAATTTTGAAGATATGCCTTTCTAGACACCCATACTTTTTAGATTGACCTTGAGAAACTTGAGATTAATTGTTGATTATCAAGTTATTTTCTGTGTACTCATATATATTGTAGAAGTCTTGGGTTCAGGGTAACTGCTAGTCGAGCTCTTGCGAGTGGAGTATTCTTAGTTGTTTTGCATTTTAAATTGCGCGTTGCATGCGTATCTCTCTTCCTATTTCTGTCTCTCCATATCTCTCTCTCCCTTTCTGTCTCTGCTTCTCTCAAGAACCGAGAAAATCAACAGAACCGAAAAGTTTGTGCCAAAATTATGGTAAATTCCAATACTCTCAGTCCTGAACAAATAATTTAATTCAAGCTTGCTTTTTTGAAGTCCCCCATTCACATTCACATTCACATTCATTCATTCTTAAGTCCAATTCGGGTCTTCTTCCTTTTCGCACTCAGCTAAAGTATTATTATAAGATATTATATTATATAAATAACATATAAAGTATCGATTTATTCATATTTTCTGCTCGATCTTTTACTTATTTGAAGAATGATTTACTTGATTCTAAATTCGAGTAATTCCTTTATGTTTTATTTCATATTTTACTTACGGGTACAGAATGTTCCGGCTCGTTTGACAAAAGTGTTGCTGCTGTTGTTGCTGCTGCTGTTGTTGTTGCTGTTGTTGTTGCAGCTGTTGTTGCTGTTCCTGCTGGCGATGTTGCTGCTGCTGCTGCGGCTGCGGCTGCTGTTGTTGCTGCTGCTGCTTGAGCCTGTGTCAGTGGCAGGGCCAGAGCAAAGGCAGTCCCCTCGTTGCCCGTCGCACTCCTGCCCCAGTTGCCACCGCTGCCAGCTGATTGCGGTGCGTTGCTCTTGTTTTTGCTACTGCTGCTGCTGCTGCTGCGGCGGCGTCGCTGCGACGAGCGTTGCTTGTTGTTGTGGCGTGTGCGGCGCGTTGTTGCTGCTGTTGCTATTGAGGAGGAGTTGCTGCCACTGCCGCTGCTGCTGCGTCGCAGTGTAATCACAGTTATCACCAGCACACTGCCACAAACCAAACAGACGGCGACACCAATGGCTATCAACAGAACGTTGCCTGCAAATAAATAACACAAATCAAATTGTTAAATTCAAAAGCTTTTTCATAATTAAATATTTTTATGTGATCAATATTGTCTTAATATCGGTCGTAAATTGCTATAAGCAGCGGGTCCGAACATCTTTCAATAATTTCAGTTTTTTTTTATGTGATAAATATTGTCTTAGTTTTATGTCTGGCATAAATTCATTTCATATTTTTTATTATGTGATAAATATTGTTTGAAGGCTCAGCTTTATATTTGGCTTAAATTGGTAATAATAAAGGAGTCCTTTTCAGCTATGTTTCTGTTTTCCCAATGAGTCAACGAGTCGTATGCGTAATATGTTAAAATAATCATACAATTTGAAATTAAATTTCCATGATGCAAATGAATAATATATTAAGTTAACTTGTCACGCAATTCTCATAATAACAATTTAAATTAAGTATTCAGTCTGCTTTGGTATTAAAACCCACATTTTTTGAGTTGTAAAAAAACCGTTAATTGTTACGAATTGCGGATCACAAAAGACGTCTGGCAATAATATAATAATAATATTGGGCAGACACAAAAACAACACACAGACACACTCACACACACTCACAAATAACAGTGTGCACAATATAAACAAACAGACCGTTACGAAATTTTTCAAAACTAAAAGTTCACAAGAAATAAAATAAAATAAAAATATGCTAAAAATACGGGCGAAAAAAAATGTTCGCTTTTGTGATACTTGTGACTGATTGTGGCCCACAAAAGTGGAAACAATGAACATTCTCTCTAGATACATATATGTGTATATATGTATGTGTGTGTGTGTGTAAGTGTTTAAATGCGTATGCGTCTAGACTAGATAGCAGACGACTTAAGCGATATCAAGCAACACATGCGCAATATCGTCTGGCATTCATATGCGTGTGTGCGTGTGTGTGTGTGTGTGTGTGTGTGTGTGTGTGTGTGTGGGCGGACGAGCAGCGCAGAGGAGAGCAGCGCGATAAACAAAGCAACAAAACAAGCAGGCAACTAGCCAGTCAGCTATTCAACTAGTCAGCCAGTCAGCCCCACAGACAGACATGTTATACTTATACCTATGCTATGCCTAAATAGCCATGATAAATGCATACACACACACACACACACACACACACACGCATACACATGCACATATATATGTGTGTCTCTGCAGACAGAGAGAGGCCGCCGCCGTCGTCGACGTTGACGTTGACGGTCGCAACAGACAGAAAAACAGAAAAACTCATACGTCGAATCTATAAAGAGACGTGTGTTCTGTGAGTTTCTATGATTGCTTGCGCAACCAAAGAATTGTGTGCAAACAAAAGCCAAGTATGCAGTTCAGTTAATATTTCAAATTTGAAACAATTTGCAAATGAAACTCCTTTTTATTTTTGAGCTCATAGCAAAAATAATATAGATTTGTTCACATTTCGCATTAGATTTATATTTTTTGCCTGATCAGCATACCAGCCGCTCTATTAACAGTGTAGTAAATATTTGTCGGTGGCCGCTGTTTGATGTACAGTTATAATCAAAGCCGAACAGCGAAGCGAGGCCAAACAAACAAACAAACCCCAGACAGAAGAGAAGCACAAAAAGAGTGCAAACTGAGAGAGAGAGAGAGATCGAGAGAGAATGGGGTGAGCAACGAGATAAGGCGCTCTCCATCTGGGGATCGGAGTCAGTCTGGTCGGTCAGGTGAGCTTGATCAATGGCTAAAAAGCGAAAACAATTTACAAAAACAGCAACAACAAAAAAAAGAGAAATGTTTACGATTATATCAAATTCCAAAATGCCAGACATTCAAAAAAAACAAGCTGAATGTAAAAAAAAGATAATCAACTAAAATTAAAATGTACAGCGAATATGTCAACAATGTGCGAGTGGCTGTGTGTGTGTGCATGGCACTGTAACTGCAGTGTCTGTGTGTGTGCGCGTGTTGTTTATATGCTTTGCTGTCTGGGCTTTAACTTTACAGCGCTACAACAACAACAATAACAAGTGGCACTTTAGACTTTTGCGCATTCCCAGCCGATGTCGCTGCCGACGTCGCAATGTTGCAGCTGACAGCGCAGCCGACAGCAGACAGGTGACTCAACCGGCTCAGCGCAGTTTTCATGCGTTTTTTGTTTTTGCTGTTGCTTTTTTTTGTGTATTTCGTTTTTTTTTTTAATTGCACGTCGCATTGTTGCTGTAATGTTTTATCGCAGGTGAATGATTGAGCACGTCTGCGCCAACAGTCTAAGAGCACACACACACAGACGGACACAGACACACACGTGCACATTAATACCCTAACCACTGGCAGACAGTGTCACATGCCCTGAATAACTTGTTTAAACAGAAATTGCTGATTGCAGAGTGAAATGACAAAAGTGAGCATTTCTGTATAGTTAACCGAGCTGTTAGGGGACTGTTAAGCATATTAGTGTTGGAAAAGGAAGAAAAGCAAGACCATCTTAGATAAGACGAAGACTGTTGCTATGCAAACTATATGAAATAGTAGACTAATGTTGTTGACTTTTTTTTTACCAAATGTGAGGAGTATAATGAAAATCATATTTAGTAAGTTTGCACTGCGTAGCGATAATTCCTATGGCAGCTATATGAAATAGTGATGCGATACTGTCGACTGCCTTATATGTACTGGCAGCAGCAATTATACGAATGTATGCCAGGTTTCATCTAGATAGCCTTCAAATTGGCTGAACGACTCGCTGGCTAATGATGCTGATCAAAAATATATAGATTTTATGAATTACCAGACGTCTCCTTCAGTACAAAATTAACTATATAATTATAATAGCCCCTACAATTATAATAGATACTATGAACAGTTTTAAAATCGAATTGCAATCATTTAATTCTTTTAGAAGTGATTACAAAGTAATGGTTTCTCACAGTGTTGGATAATAAGAGCAATGAGTGCTGTATAATATTGTAATATTAATCAAACAACAGTCAAGTGTAGCCAATGCTCAGCACGAGTCGTAAACCCAATTAAATTTTAATATCTCTTCTAGAATGCAATTTGTTGCACTCATTGAAGTGACACATTAAACTAATGTCATTGTGGTCTTGAAATTAATAATGTTTGATATCTGTTCAATAGCTGGACAGCTGTTTAGTTCTTAAGCAGTCAGCTTGTGTATTTGTCCGCCTTCGAGTTGTGCGACTTAAATGGATTTTGTGGCTATTTTTAGTTGACGCACTGATCTCTGCTTAGTGTCCGAGAGTGGGCAACAACTGTGTGTGTGAGTGTGTGTGTGTGTGTCTGTGTGTGTGTGTGTGGCTGTGTTGTTTAACTTGTTTGCAACGCCAATGCAACAAGAGTGGTGGGGGGAATGTCCGAAAAAAAAGCAAAAATAATAAAAACTTGATGGCAGGTTCCTTGACCGAGGCTGTTATAAAATATACCACAATACAGCACTGGATAATCGGGCAATTTGCAGGCTGACAATTCAATTGATTCAAGTGAAAGGAGGTATCACGAGGTGTTTCAGCTGCTAAAATATATAGTATATACACTCAGCGAAAAGTTGAGAATCTTATATATTGTTTCTCTTATGATATTAACGCATGATTTATCGAGCATGTTCTTTCCTTTATCAAGCATTCCACATTCCTAACACGGTTGATGTTTAATTTAGAGCAGCGGCAGTGGCTTTCTTTAAGTGTATCTGACAGATATTTTATCTTTTTTCTTTTTCTTTTTTTTGGAGCGTATGCGTATTCTTCAAGCTATTAATTCAATGATTATGATGGCAGCGCTAATGACAGTCAAGTGCATTTATTGTGCCACCCCCTCTCATCCCGGCCTGCCTCCCTTCCTAACTGGGATATATGTATATGACATGATATTTGAGTTGTCGGAGATCATTGACACCTTAATTGATGTCAAGGTCTAACCTTGTGAGGCAAATGTCGCGCTCTAAACTAAACTGAACTCAAATCAACTCAACTCAAGTCCAAAATCGCCGCTTTATTATGATAATACAAATATACGTATATATATATATATATATATATATGTATACAGTACATAACAGTATTAATACGTAGCTTGTTAGGTGACATTGAACTTGAAGGAATTTGCGGGCTGTTGAGTTGTGATTTGATTTGATGCATCAAATATATATATAGATATATATATATATATATATATATATATATATATATATATATATATATCTATATACATATACAGAATCACATCTATGTCTAGCTAGGTGTGATGCAATTAATCAAATACATTGTAACTAATCGCAAGCATTGCCAATTCATTTTGTTGATACAGGCGAGAGAGATAGAGGGGTACCTTAGATCCAAGCAGCTGTACCTCGTCACGTACACATATCTATATATAATATATATATATATATATCGGTCAGTACACCAACTGACGTCAGTCGAATGCCAGACAGCAGACATAAATGTGTTTATTCACATTCAATGCAAATATTCGAATGGATCTTCAATTTGCCTTAGATGACTCTAAGCAACATTGCCACTTGTAGACCCAGTTGAGTAATTAATGCTGCAAAATGTGCAGAAAATTGCATCACTAATTCATGCTTTTTTATTTGATTGATGTAAGCATGTAATAAAATGCAAATTTATTCGTTTCCTGATAACAAATGATACACTAAAATCATCATAATATTGGTAAATTGGATCTCTCTATATATTTCTGTGTTTCATTCATTCAGTTTTGCCATAGCCAACATTTCTTTGGCATCCATAGAAAAACATAAAAACTGAATGCTTTCTTTCACCACAGGCCGTTTTGCCTTACTTCGCACTGAAATTACTTTTGAATTGTGTTCAAAATAATAGTAAATATAATTTCTTTCTATTTTCTGGGTATACATATGCCTTGGGGAGGTATCCATGGGTAGCTGGGTGCTGTTTTCTGGGTTGTGTTTTGGTTTTGTGGCACTTGGCAAGCGCTGCAGGCTGCGAGACACAAATTTGGCAATTCAACATTTAAAACAAG